ACCCCCCCCCCCCCCCGAATTAGGTAGAGAGGAAATATTCTTTGAGGGGAGGCGAGGGAGGTGTAAGGATTTTTTTTTTCCTTGTAGAAGTAATTACAATGTGTTCTAGATCTTGGCCTACCCTTTTATTTTTACTGATATTAGATTTTACATTAATTTTTAGTAGAACTTTCAGTGCAAGGAATAATTAATGGTAAATCCTTGGCTTAGTAGCAAAAACATAAACTTTCAAACCTTTTACTCATGAACTAAATTAACAACAAAAGAACACGTTAGCATTGCGAATGATTTAAACGAAATATAAGGCATGTATGAGACCTTTATCCTACTGATCTGCCTGGATGAGATTGAAAAAAAATACAAACTAAGATGTCTCTGGAAGAGAATTGTTACAGAGTACAAGATCTGGTTGTATCATTTCATCAGCTGCAAACTTTTTAAAAAAGAAATAAATGCTTCTATCTAAAGGGGGGCAGTGGCTTGAATTAAAAAATCAGAGAAGAAACAATTAAATCACGGTGTAATATGGAAAACGTCAAAGGAAGACAGAAAAATGATGCAAATTCTCTGCTGGCTTGAAGATTGATGCATGAAATCTTCTTGGGAATCTACAAACTCATTATTCTTGTCTCCCTTTTTTAGAGGTTTGCTATTCTTTGAAAAAAAATACAGTTCTTTGCATCGGCCTCAAGAATAATGTTCAAAGGCATTGGGAAAAATAGGAGAATTAAAAAAGAAGAAGGAAACAGTGAAAATTCTCCCTTTCAGAATTCTCATGGCTGCCTCAGAACAAGCAGGACTTAACAAACTTTTCCAACATGGTTCTTTAAAAAAAAGGTTTTGCCTGCAGGGGGAAGGCTCCTTGTTGGAACTATTTAGTTTGATTTGGTTAGGAAAACAAACAAACATTTTTTTTTCAAACAGCAGTGTTTATTACTGTATAATTCCCTTCAGCTGTTCCCTAGAAAAAGTGGTTTCTTTTTTTAAAGCATGGTGAAAGACTTTATTAAAAAGACGGAGATAAGGCAGAACGTACTAAAAGACCAAAAATGGGGTATTTAAATTTAATTCCATGGATGATGCGTTTTTTAATTCACTGAGGGCACCTTTTCCCCCAAGCCACTAAAACCATCCAAATGAACTAGGAAGAAAAACAAAACTCTTTCCTCCCCACCTCTCTCAATATATATATATATATAATCTTGATAACAAAATCATTTCACCTTCTACAGCATGAAATATTTTGCTGGAGCCTCTTGCTAATAGGGCTGAACACGCCAAATCTAAACAGATCGCTCTCCCATTGCTTGGTCCTCGAAGCAAACCCTGAGCTATGTTTCTATTATTTGTCGCTGTTTATGTTTTAGGTCTATTGGTTTTTACTCTAAGCATTATTCTAAACGTTTTAAATGTGGTCAGAGTGGCACCATTTGGTCTGATGCAATCTGTTTCTCTCTCTAGGCCTCTCCTGCAGCTTGAACTCCGAAGTTTGATCAAGTTACATCATTTCTAAATATTTTCTCCCTCTTCCCCTGGCGCTTTTCTCTGAGCAAGGGCTAGGAAAGGATCAATAGCAACAAGAACACAAATAATCGTAACAGGGCTAATCAATGCATATCTCCTCAAAATATTAGGCAGGTCCGACAGTGCCAGAAAACCCACTTCCAATGTTTTCATATTTTATTGCACCAGCAGGATTTGCATTTTTATGGCTC